ATGGTTTTCGTAAAACAAGTTAGTATTTTGAATGTAACAAACGTAATGATAAATTTCAGGGGTATTGTTAGTCACTTTTTTCAGCAGGGTTACCCTGTCGATAGAGGTAAAAGAATTCCTTAGGTCAACCTTCACTAGAACAACCGCATCAGAGTTTGTTAAAAATGTACGCAGTGAATGTACTGCTTCTTCATAGCCACCTCTAGTGCCAAAGCCTAGTTGAGTAGGTTGAAATTTTGTCTTAAGGTTAGAGATTATGTGCCTGCAAGCTAATTTTGAAGTTAAGCGTCGAAATGTAGAACCAACGGCAATAGGACGGACACCGTTTTTCTTTTGTTTTTGAAGGCACGTAATCTTGCCCCATATAAGAATGGAATAAAACTTGGATTAATTACTAGAAACCATAAAGTTACATACTTTTTTAATGTCATTAAGAAGTACTCCGCCGGCGTCACCGGCAGAAGCGCTTAGAAGATCTTTAAGATGTCGGGGCGTAATTCCGTCAATGCCGCCAGCAGAGCCATTTGAAAATGACTTAATTGCTTCTAAAGTGTCTTTTTCAGAAATATGTAAAGGTTGCATAGAAGTCTTGGGAGGCAGCGGTAAATTTTGAAAAGGATTGACCAAAGGATGCTTATGACGAAGGCCTTCAAGAGTTACGACATTACTAGGATCCAGGATGTCGTCTGAGAATAAAATACGGAATGCATTTTTAAGTCGCCATTCATTACTTTCGACTCAACTACATTTATAAATCAAATTTAGGACGAGGTCGAGATAAATGATTATTAATTGGGTAATCTAAAGGGGATTGTTCATTCTTGGATTAACGTGGACAAGTTGTTCTGTAAAAAGTATTTTTAGGAAAAAATATAATTAAATCTAAAATTAATATTTTTTTAATTGTCGTAGTAGGAAAATAAATTTAAAAACAAGTCGTTTAATAAGTATTTAAGCCGATTGAGTTCAAACGAGTCGCCATTTTTTGGTTGGAGGTTGATTCTGTGCTGCCACTTAAATTATAATTGTGATTACAGTCTTTATAATCGATTATTAAAATAATCGATTTTTAAATCTGAGTAAAAAATATGTATTTTCTTGAAAATGTGCAATCAAGTGATTTTCAGAAGATTTTTATTATATTTATTTTCCTTTAATTACATAAAAAAACAAACACAGAACTCATTGATTTGGTCTGCAAATCATTTTACATCCGATTGTAATATTGGTTCGATTGTTGTCACCTTGATTTTTTATTACCTATTTACCATTTGTTAAAAATGACATATATGCAGTGAAAAAAAAAACATTCGCTTTGTCTCCGTGTATAGCTAATATTGTTTCGGTTATTTTTGCGAAGTATTTTGTTTTTGTTATAATGGACTCCGAAACCGCTGCTACTGAAGACCCGGCTTTACTGTTGGACACTGAATCCACTCATGACGATGACTGATTTTGGTAAACGTTGAATTAGCTTTAATTGACAAGAGATAAGGCACGTAAGAGTAATATGGTCGCCTTAAGCTTTGCAGCCCTATAAAACCAATACTAGGAGGAGGACAGAAACAAAAATATAAAGTCATATACTATAACTAATTAATTGATAAAAAAATAGCAAATAACCTTTTGCAATAATTAGAAACACTTCGAAAAATCAATATAAAAGACACTTACTACACAACACGATACTAAAATCTTAGAGTAATTACACATAGAGTGATAGTAACATTCAAAATTCCGTTCAAAGTTGAAGCAACAACAAAATGAATGTGTGCATAAGCGGCCTGTAATTACGTTTGCCCACACGTACACAAGCAAATGAGTAATGTTTGCAAGATAATGAGATTTTCCTCAAAAAGTGGGGAAAATATAATAGTAGACATCGTCATAGAATTAATATTTAGGTTGCGTTTATAATTATTTACCAACTATTTGCAAAGAGAAAAAATGTAACATTATTTATTTTTTTAACTTATGTAATATTTAAATTATTTATATGCGTAATATCTTGTGTTATATTCACAAATCTATTATGTAATTATATAATTCTGTTAGAAGTGGTATATTTATAGAAATATGTGTTACTTATCTTCCATAAAATCTTATATTATTTGTAAATATTATTTTTTATATAATACTCAATGGCCTTATTCTATGATATATTGAGAAGTGGAAGAAGTGGAGGATGCGAATGCCTACGTCTATTTCTTCCAGTTTTTCCGATCCAGTCCCACTTACACTTAACAAGTGAATAGTTGTCAGATAATCATTTTAGCTGTCAGATATTTTTTCATTAGTTACTCCTTACTAACTGTGGCTCTGGCCCGCGGCTTCACCCGCATATTAAAGCATACACTGATCTCGATTCTTGCCATTCTAAGAATCTACGTGATATATTTAATTTAAATCGATTTCGACGTAAAGGTTACAACATACAACTTTGACAGAATGGGTACAATATTAGAAGGAATCACGAGACTTACTTTATTGGATATTATGTTTTGCATTAAAACAAAATAAGATTCGGAAGGAGATAAACTATTCAAATAAAACATGAAATAAAACATAAAAATGTTTCTTAAATAATATAAAATAAAATATACCCAGGTACTTAAAAAAATATCTCTTAATGACCCTGAAACTGCAACTGTTTTCTAAACAACTGCCGCTTTGATGACGCTATCCTCGAAATGTTATCTTTTTTAGGCTCATAAAAGAATCGAACTAAAAATGTTAATATATGTAAATTAGAATTAAAAAAAAAGATCATAGGCTATGTTATTTATCCTAAAACACATACCTTAAAAAGGTAAAAACAACTGCACATTATGAAAACAAAATAAAATCAACACATTTTTTGTGGCAAATGGAAACCATAATAATATTTGGCAAATAAAAATACCTATTTATATGTGAATGACTCTATTGGCAGTATGTATGTATTTTTTTCAATATGCATTTTTTTATAATTATAATAATAAGAAAAAATTGGGTAAAATATTTTACTATGCCTTGCAACATTTTTATTATATTGGCGTCTGTCAAATTTATTATTTATTATTTTGTTGTGATGAATGTTTTTCACAAAAATATAAGATGCTAGGCAGTACTTAACCGTGAAATGAGATTTTTAAATTTTTTTTCGTGAGTATGTAATGAGTTGTGACAGCCTTTTACAGTACAGTACATAATTTTTTTGAAAAATTGTGGGAGATGTTTACTCGACTACGTGGACTCGAGTACTAACGCACCAAAAGTCGTACTTAGCCTTAAAAGGCTAAAATTATTTATGTCCGCTCTAACTACCTACTCAATTTTGATAAGAAAATCGAAATAATCGCGCATAGTCACCAGTGCTTGCATGTTTTGCAAACAAATAGAACCGGTTGCAAATGTGAGTTGTTAGAACAGGTTCCTCGTCATAAATACTTAGGACTAGTAGTCGATGACAGGCTTAACTGGGGTTATCATATTGACACAATTTGTGACAAACTGAGAGCAATGTTAGCTAAATTTGCTATCTTAAAATACAAAGTACCATTTAAAATATTACTAAATTTATATAATGCACTCGCAGAGTCAATAATTTTATATGGGATCACTAGCTATGGTCGGACATTTAAAACTTATTTGGACGAAATATACAGCCTTCAACTTCGGTTTTTAAAAATTATAACACCTAATAAAATTAAAAAATCAATCTGCTCCGATGACGATGTATTGCCCTTATTTAAATATTGTAAAATATTACCTATTCATATGAAAATAAAAATGTGGCTATTAATTGAACAATTTACTAACAAAGAACTACAAATAAAAGTCAATCATAAAATAACGACACGGAAAGTAGTTCAATCAAAACTAGAAATACCAAGAGTCAGAAACTATTCCGGAAAACGAACAAATGCGTATTTAATACCAACTCTCATTAATGACATACCAACTAAAACCCAATTAGAAATAACGGATAAAAATTGTAAACATAAATATAAACAATACTTTTATTCTTTACTTTCATAACAAGTAGTCTAATTTTAATCAAATCAAACCTAATGTACTAACATATCGATAATTGCAACATTCTGTATATAACAAACTCAAGTAGCAACAGCCGGCCGGCCGCCTGCGCCGAGCCGCAATCTATAACCGGTTCCTTATTGTCCGCTTCTGTGTAAACAATGTACCCATAACTGCTGATGTTGTGTTTTTGATGTTCTTATAAAGTAATATATGTGTAAACTAATGTCAACAGATTGCTCAAAAGTGTCTCAACATCCAGACAAACCCGTAAGGGTTTTTGTGATGTTTTTATGATTATATTGTGTTTTTCTTTTCATTAAATAAATTTTTAAAAAAAAGTACGACTTTTGGTTACGGCTTCACTTTGCGTGCGTCTACTGCGGTTCTAAGCCTTATACTTCTATGACTAAAATCGAATAAAATATTTACTATAATGTCAACTGTCAAAATGGCGTCGATAAAGCAGCAACCTTTTGACGCTTTATTATTTGATTGACTGATGAAGAGCTATCGTATCACAAAACCATCTATGCAAACAATGCTGTAGTTTTTGAGTTATAAGAAAGTGACCATATTAACCGGATGACCATATTACCCTCACGTACTATACTCATAATTGTAACTTTTATCAGCGATTGGTTTTAGCATTACACATGCTAAATATGAACTATTTTTACAATCGAAGCAAATGACGTTTCAGTCATCGACGTAACGTCGTACGCGGCACACTAAAGGGGGTTATAATATTATATAACACCTATCGCTTTTTCGTAACAGTCAGCTTTTTATACTTACTACCCACCATGTCAACTAAATGTGATAACTGTAACAAAATTATATCCAAAAGTTACACAGGAGTAGAATGTGGTAAATGTGAGCGCCTAGTGCACTTAAGTGTTAAGTGTACAGGTCTGACGAACAAACAGCTTACCGCACTTAAAACTGCTGCACCCGGATTAGGATGGATATGTCAAGAATGTTTGCAAGAGACCTCCAGACGAAATTCATCAATAGTGATTCCAGAGAATGATGATGAAGATGATTATGATAGACACGTACAAATTGATGCAAAAACTCTATTAAATAATATATTAAAAGAAGTAGAAAAATCGATAAAGAAGGAATTAAAAGATATCAACGACTCACTTCAATTTCATAGTTCAAAACTGGATGAGGTGATGATGTCTATTGAGGCATTCAAGCAAACTATAAAAAATCTACAGAGAAAGAATATCGAACTTACCAACAAAAACAACAATCTGGAAACGAGAGTAGGTACATTAGAACAAAAATTACAGGAAATGGAGCAGAGTTAAATGTCTAAATTCATTGAAATAGCAAATATACCACTACACAAAGATGAGCATGTGAAGCAACTGGTTGATAATATAGCTGAAAAGCTAATCATACCTAAGGAACAAACAACAGAACACATAAGCATACAAAAGCATACAGATTAAAAGGAAAATACGATCAGAATGGAAATATACAAGTGGCGCTAAAAGAGGAAAGTGTGTTGGACATGGATAGCGACCGCAAAAAGAACCAGGATTATTGTAGCAGACATTCATCCAAGAGAAAATAAATACAGCAATTCCGTGTATATAAGGGAAAAAATGACACAGCACAACAAGAAAGTTTTCTGGCATGCAAAACAAGAGCTAAAATTAAGCAGAATTATAAATACGTTTAGTTCAATAAGGGTTTTATTAAGGCATGCAAAGGAGACGAAAGGAGAACGAACGGACGAAGAGAGAAAGGTAAAGTTTTCATTCTAAGGAGCTTGGACGACATAAATTCACTAGCTAATAACAAGCTGTGAAATCCTTCATTTTATTTAAGAATTCTTTTTTGTGTATTATATTTTATAAATATTTGGCTTTAATTTTATATTATTATTCGTATATTCTTTTTCTCTTGATCTCTGATAACGTATTTGTTACAAAAATAAAGGTATGGAACCTATCGACTACGAAATTAAAGAATTCGAAAACTGTGTAATCGCAAATCAATTTTGTAATTATCTACCTAAAAATCAAAATATTAACCTATTACGTATACACATTAATATCTGTTCTACCATAAAAAAAACTTCTTCTATCTAGAACAATGTATATTTAGTTGTTCAAAATGCTAAGACGTAATAATAGTAACCGAGGCAAATATCTCACATTACATCAGTAGTTTGTATCATATTAATGGATATTAAATGATAACGGAAGATATAGGCTGCAGAAAGTTCACACGAAAGCATTGATTGAGGAAGTGCGTGAAAGGTGTAGAATGGAAGCGGACGAAAGGTTGTCGCACAACTTTAAGGAGAACTCGCAACTCTTCTGGAAAGAGGTTGGAAGGACCCGAAGTGGTGCGACGGCCTTAAGAATGAACAAAGTGCTTTCGAGAACTAATGACGTCCTCTCAGAAAAATCGAACGTCATGCAGCGATGGAGCGAATTTTATAGGGAAATGTATGCGTGTCATGATCTTAGTGAGGGATCCGGGGATGACGCCGTGACTGGTACGCCAGACCCGGACCTCGATGACACTGAGGTCATCAGTATGAAAGAGATTGAACGTGCGATTCGAAGTTTGAAATGTGGTAAGGCTGCAGGACTAGACAGAGTTACTGCTGAAATGGTCAAGTATGGTGGGCCTCGCGTCTGGGACAGCTTTCATCTGCTGTGCAATTTGTGCTGGCGGACGGGGGATGTCCCGGATGATTGGCGAATCGCAGTCATTGTGCCTTTATATAAAGGTAAAGGTTCACATTTTGACTGCGAGTGCTATCGGGCGATCAGCTTGACCAGTTTAGCAAGTAAAGTTTACTCGAAGGTATTGACACGTAGGATGCAAGAGAAATCGGAAAGATTTCTATGGGAGGCACAATGCGGATTTAGACCTGGAAGAGGATGCACGGATCAAATGTTTTCTCTCCGCATGATCACGAAAAAGCTTCTGGCTGCTAACCAGAAGATTTTCTGTGCTTTTGTGGATCTTGAGAAAGCATTTGATAAGGTTGTAAGGAAGAAAATGTGGGAACTGTTGCCGGGGTATGGTGTGGATGGTCGATTGCTAAGGGCTGTGCAGTCTCTTTACTGTGACTGTAAAGCCTGTGTGCGGGTAGGGCATGACCTGTCACCCATGTTTAGCGTCCAAACGGGCGTAAAACAGGGTTGTGTCATGTCTTCCTGGCTGTTCATACTGTATCTCGACAGCTGTTTACAAAAGCTGAAAGATAGCTGTTTGGGTGTGAAATTGGGTGACATTAAAGTAAATTGTCTGCTGTATGCTGATGATGCAGTGCTTATTGCACCATCAGAGGTAGAACTGCGGGCATTAGTCACGTGTATGAAAGAGGAATGTGAAATTAAAGGTCTCCGTTTGAACGCTAATAAAACTAAGGTTGTGGTATTTGAAAGGGACGATGAGAGAACGAAGTGTGAAATATGGGTAAATCAGGAATGTCTAGAACAAGTAAATGAAATTGTATACTTGGGGAGTGCTTTTAGCCGGGATGGAAGATGTGATTTAGATGTGGACAGGCGTGTCGCTGCCGGGAACAAAGTCAATGGTGCCCTGACTGCGTTAGTCAAAAGGCAAGGCGTAGTGAAGAGTGCACGCCTTGCAATACATAACGCAGTGTTGGTACCGACTTTGTTATATGGCAGCGAAACCTGGGTATGCCAGAAGAAGCATAAAAGCAAGTTGAATGCAGTGGAGATGCGATCTCTTCGTAAAATGTGCGGCGTTACCATGGCCGACCGAAAGCGAAACGAAGAGATTCGCAATATGGCAGGTTTGAAAGATGAAAAATTGATAAGGGCGTGCTTCGGTGGTTTGGGCACGTTGAGCGAATGAGTGAAGACCGAATGGTGAAGAAAATATATAGCGCGACAGTTAATATTAAAAGGTGTCGAGGTAGACCGAGACTAACTTTCGAAGACCATGTGAGCAAATTGCTCGAAGAGGGTAGGGTCAAGAGTACTCGGATACCTAGACGTGCATGTATGAAGAAGATAATGAATCTGAAAGAAGCGAAAGAGGTATGTAAGGATCGTGACACTTGGCGATCTGTTCTCTCTGGCTACCCCGTCAGGGATTGTGCGTGAAGATAAGCAAATGATAACGGACCTGCGGGTAAAAGGTCGAGCTTGTGGCATTATCATCTACATTAGCAATAACAATAAATATAAAACTAAAAAATATGAAGCAATATTTTGTGAAAGTCTGTCTGTGTGTCATGTTATTCCGCAGATATTTGCGCAGTGTACCGTCCTCCTAGTACGAGTAAAAATCTTTTTATTGACGAGATATTTAATACAATTAAGAGTCACTGCAGCAACAACGATTTGTATTTACTGGGCGATATTAACATTGACTTAAAATCGACACTCCAGTTAAGCATGGGCACAACAACTCGCTGCATAGCTTGGGTCTTGTATGTGGGATCATAGAATATAAAAGAATAGAACTATCCGATGGAATACTGAGGAGATCATGTATAGATCATATATACGCTAGATCCCTCAGCCAGGACCTTTTCACTGCTGCTATTGGAACAACACTGGCGGATTATCGCGCAGTGATGCTTGCATGCGTCGGGCCGCATATACAGGTCGTGCCTAAATTTAAGATTTGCATCAATAATACTAATCTCATAACATCATTAAATGATATTAATTGGGAAAAAACTAATGACATGACATGCCCCTCAACGATATATAAATTTATACAGAGTAGTTTTACACAATGCTCTGAAAAATCTAAATTTCAAATAAAAATACAACCTAATATAAAACAAATAGCTAATTATTGGATACATTAAAGATTATAAAATCATGTACACATAGGGATAAATTATTTACATGATGGATAAAGGATACTAGAATATGACTTTAAAGAAAGAATATAATAAATCAAGAAATTATGCTAATAAATTAATAAATAAGATCAAAAACAATAAATTAAGAGCTGAAATAATAAACAGTTAAAATAACTCTAGGCACTTATGGCAAGTACTAAATAAAATAACAGACATTAATAAAGACATTTAAAGACAACAACACAACTGATAAAGACATTGCAAATTCATTTGCTACCACATTTGAAAAAAGTGTCCATAAAATAATTCCCAATTGCCCTAAACAGTTGCTTGATGAATCAGCCTACAGAAGGTCAGCTGAATTATCTATGAGACTTAAAGCGGCTGATTCTGACTCTGTAGAAAAAAGTATTAATGCATTAAATAGTTGCAAGGCTCCTGGTTTTGATGGCATTAGAGCCACAGACATAAAAAAATATTTGCAAAAAAAATATACCCATTGCTAATCTCATTATTGCAAGTACTAACGGTGCGTACGTATTATATAACATAACATTTTATAATTATAATAATTAAAATATATTTATAATTATAATTAATAACATTGTTATATAACATGTTTCAGTAATGTGGAGACTGAATGTTATGAAATGTGTTATATAACGTTATATAACTCGAGAGTATTTTTTTTTAGTCAATAAACTATGTTTGTTTGGGACGAACTCAGTATTTATGTTTTTTTTCTTTTGTTATTTAAATGTACAAGAGTTGCTGCAGCAGTTAGCAAAACTTATTATCGTGTCGACACTGTGAAAAGCACTGCAGAACAATAAACGACAATGTCATATAACATTGTTACATTGCATTGTTATTCTAATGTGTACAGTATTGTTATAAGTTTCGATGATGAAAAACAATGTAACATAACGTGTTATAAAACAAAAGTTATACAACATGTTACTTAATCTTTACGCACCCTAAGGGCCGATTTAACCATACTCAGATAAGTTTTATTCCAAGAGTAATGATATAAGTTATTCTATGACGTATAACCCATCTAAAGTAAAAAGTTTGTTGTTTACCTCGCCGAGAGTGAAAGCAACGACATACTTAATTTGTTTTCTTTATACAATCATTCATTCGCTCATTCAAGTACAGTCTTCTACAGATAAGCAAAACCGTTATTCCAGAGAATACTTATTCTGAGGCTAACTAATCTGTTGTTTTGCATGGTGAAATGTACAGTAAGTTATCTGAGAGTAAAAGTAGGGAATATCTTTATTCTTGGGTTAGTTAATCTTAGACAACGACGTTGTTGGTGAAATCGGCACTAAGTAGAGTAACTATCCCAAATGAATTAAAATCGGTATTGTCAGCCGATATACAAAAAAGGTGGAACATCGGAATACGAATACTGTAGACCAATAACTATTCTTCCGACAATTGATAAAATTGTTGAAAAATATATTTGTAAGCAAATTTCTGAGTTCTATGGCAACAACAAAATACTACAAGAAAAACAATATGGGTTTCAGCATCATAAGAATACATCACAGTTGTTAATTTCATTAAATAATAGTATATACAAACATCAAAACGAAAAGAAACACATACTTGTAGTATTAATCGAATACAGTAAAGTTTTTGACACACTCAGGCATAATAAGCTTCTAAATAGTTTATGTGATAGTGAGATTAGAAGACCGTTATTAAATTGATGCAAGTATTACCTTGCAAACAGGAAGTTTGTTGTAAAAGTAAAAGATGCAATAAGCAAAACTGTAAATGTAACTTTGGACACGGCTCAAGGATTAGTGTTGGGCCCGTTACACTATCTCATATATGTTAATAACTTAATAAACGCATTGTGACATTGTAAAATATATTAATACACAAATGACACATGTTTATTTATAGCTGGGAAAAATATCAATCACACCATGAGTCTACTGCAAGATGACTTTAACATGTTAACCAAATAGTCGCATGATATGGGCCTGTTAATTAATTTTAATAAAACTATAGTTATGTACATTAGTAGTACCAAAAACAGAAGCGACGAGATACCCAAACTAATACAGATTTCGAGGAATTCTAGCCAAATTTTTATTAATATAATTCAAAATACCATTCAATATAAGAATACAATTATATATCTCCTAAGCAGAATCCATCGTATGGTCTTTCTAGCCATGATAGGACTATAGGTCCTACCATGGCTAGAAACACACCTAGACCGTATTTACACTTTACAACTCCGTATTTTAAAAACCTTAGCAAAAACTGTCATGAACAAATTTAAAGACCAACAACATAATATCTTTGATTTCTGTAAAATATTACATGTACATAATAAAGTAAAGTTGAATACTAAATTTCTTTAATAAAAATCTACAAATTCCAATGCAATACAATTTTAACACACGAAAGTCAAAGACACCGAACTTAGCTTTACCAAAATTCATAAATCTAAATGGGAAACGAACGTTAGAATACATGATTCTCGATATCATAAACAAACTTTCATCACATCTAAAAAACAAATTAATCAACGCAACATCAAAAATATATTAAAGAATTACTTCTTAAGTAACCTTTAATAAAAAGTATTGTAAAATAAAAAGTAAAATTAATATTCTACTACTACTAATAATATAAGTTTATCTTTAATATCATTAATTAGTATCAAAGTATATGAACAGTCTGTATATGCGAACTCGACGAGTCAAGCCAGGTAGGCAAAGGACAGATTCGAGAGCAAACCGGCTTCTTGACTGTACGGGGAGCGCAGTCTAATGCGTGCATCACAACATTATGATGTATGACATAATTATTAGGCATAATAATTATTACGAGTATGATATGTTTGTTGATGGCATCGGTATACGGTAAAGCTGTATAGCTTATGTTTATGCCGCAAAATATCAATTTAAATATTCTCAAATTATTATCAAACAAATTAAAAAAATAATCTCCTGCAACCTTATTACTATAATTCGTTTCTTTGATGTATAAACTATTAAAAACCTCAGTCATTAAATATTATAGTTAATATTCACGTTGAGCCAAATTACCCTAACAAACTGAGCAATTCCCCTTTGAAAAGATGTCTGTTTTAGTAGAGACGTAATTGATTTATTTATTGATTTATCAAAATGAAAATGGGAATCCGCGTAAGTAAATAATTTTGCAACGCTCTCTTGAAGAACTACAGACCGATTTCCCTTCGGAGCCGCGTCTACGTGCTGTTTTCGAGAGTCATTACGAATCGTCTCGCGCGCAGACTTGACGACTTCCAGCCTCCCGAACAAGCCGGTTTCCGAAAGGGCTTTAGCACCATAGACCACATACATACCCTTCGGCAAATTGTACAGAAGTCCGAGGAGTACAATTTGCCACTATGCCTGGCGTATGTGGATTATGAGAAAGCCTTTGATTCCGTCGAAATTTGGGCGGTGCTGCAGTCCCTTCAGCGGTGCCAAGTTGACTGTCGGTATATCGAAGTGCTGAAGTGCTTGTACAGTAAAGCTACGATGGCTATCCGAGTACAGAACCAGAGTACGAAACCTACACAATTGCAGAGAGGTGTAAGACAGGGTGATGTTATATCCCCGAAACATCACCGCTGCATTGGAAGACGTTTTCAAACTTCTGGACTGGAAAGGATACGGTATTAACATCAATGGCGAGTACATCACTCACCTTCGATTTGCCGACGATATAGTCCTTATGGCAGAATCGCTGGAGGACCTAAGCACTATGCTCAATGACCTCAATAGTGTCTCCCAACGGATAGGTCTTAAGATGAACATGGACAAAACAAAGATTATGTTTAATGTCCATGTCACACCTATGCCGGTAGTTGTAGGGAGCACTAAGCTCGAAGTTGTTGACGAGTATGTTTACCTGGGACAAATAGTCCGACTAGGTAAGTCCAACTTCGACCAAGAGGTCAATCGACGGATTCAACTCGGCTTGGCAGCGTTCGGGAAGCTACGACACATTTTCTCGTCAGACATACCTCAAAACCTTAAAACAAAATTGTACAACAAGTGCGTGTTGCCAGTGATGACTTACGGCTCTGAGACGTGGTCCTTCACTGCTGGCCGTATGAGGAAGCTCAAGGTTGCTCAGCGAGCTATGGAGAGGGCTATGCTCGTTGTTTCTCTGCGTGATAAACTTAGAAATGAGATATCCGCAGTAGAACCAGAGTAACCGACATAGCCAAACGGATTAGTAAGCTGAAGTGGCAGTGGGCCGGTCATATAGCTCGAAGAACCGACAACCGATGGGGAAGAAAGGTTCTAGAGTCGCAGCCTCGTACCGGTAGGCGAAGTGTAGGGCGACCCCCCACGAGATGGAGTGACGACCTGGTAAGATATGCAGGAAGTCGATGGATGCAGGTGGCTCAGGACCGTGCTTTGTGGCATTCCTTGGGGGAGGCCTATGTTCAGCAGTGGACTTATGAAAGGCTGTAATGATGATGATGAATGAAATAATTTCAACCAACTCTTACCCCGCATCTTTCACTGAAACACAATCATTTACGGCCTAAATAAAAGCACTTTATAAATGAAATATTATCACATTATTTCCCTGGATTTATTCCATATTGATAAAAAATTATTTAGTCGTTATGCTTTGTTATGTTTTGAGCATTATATCTGAAATAAAAAAAAAATTAAATATAATAACTGTCTCATATATTTACTGATCTTTTTGTTGAAATTTGTAAGCCAGAATTGGCCTCTAAACAAAGAGATTTAAATATATAGGTATACTAACTACTAAAATGTCTTTGATTAAATATATTGGAAAATATTTACCTAATCAAAAGGCTTTGAATAAAATAATTATATTTATATTATATTTTTAATAAGAAAAGTTTTTTCTTTTTTAATATATTTTTTCCTGTAAGGATCTATTAAAAGATAATTCAAATAGTGACGGGATAAACAGTATCCTTTTACGAACTCACTGTATTGTCGTTTATGTGTCCTGTT